CATCCCTTTTAACAAGCTACGCGATACTTCATTTAATCCTGGTTCATCATGTGCCACCTCTGCTCTGCCGTTTATCCGTCCAGCTATCAAACATGCTATCGTGTGAAATCCTTGATCATCATACGATGCATTAATTGACAAAACTGGCCAAAGCAGCGGGCTCTGGACACCAAAAGGCGAAGCGGGGAAGACGCGAGATCAAACCTCGACTCGCAAACAAAACTGAGTTTTCGAAGTCTGTAGATTTCAGATTTAAAAATGAAAATAGACCGGGAGGAAACAGCGTGAGAGACTTAACAACATATTTGACCTGTCTAAATAACGTACATGCATATATAAAATATGCGCACATATGACATTGAGATTGACCATATAAACATATTGTGGAAAACATTGCAGCAATCTTCTCACTTTCAAAGGACAATACAAGATATTCAAGCAGATATCTCGAGTCCTTTCGGTTTTTTTTTCAGTTCTTTCGGTTTTAACCGGCACTATACATCTGGTCTGGATCATTGTTATCTGGATCTTTAAACAGTTACCGTGTGGCAGCTGCCTGGGCCTGGCCAGGGTGACAGCGGTCTGACCCGGCTGAATGCTCGCTGCCCTCGGGCAATGGCCCGCGGACAGACGCTCCCTTCAGACCTGGGGCTCTGGCACACGCCTTCCTATTGTCCTCGGGGCCTCAGACTTCGCAGCAACAGAAAGATTTCAATACGGGCAGGAAGGGGACGGGGAGGGAGGGACGGAGTCGATTAGCATTCTCCACACCCACGGCACAAACAGACAAATCCCATTGAAAACCGCCTTCAGATGGCGGCATTTTAACTATTATTTAAACAATGACTAAATTCAACTGATTACTTTCAAGCAGATTACTCACCACTTGCTCGCAGCTGTCATGTTATTGGACTTCACTCCAATGTCTAATCTCACAAACAGTGTACTTACCAGCCAGATCTAACTGGATAATTGCAAATAATATCTGGATCAAAGCAAAGAAGAACCGTTCAACAAAATTGTTGAATTGTGATAAATTAAATATTACGGATAATAAATGAGCATTTGGATGATGACTACATGGGATAATTGGGATTGTTCCAATTTCTAATATGTGTACCCATTCCGGATTTCAGAGCCAAAAAGGTCACGTTTAATTTGCAGGTCAGAGTTTAACTTCGTTTGTCTCAACATTGTTTTTACCATTGCCAAATTAATTTATTTTCTTTTCAAAAGTGCGTTACATTTCAAAATAAAACAAGCAATTCATAATTCTCGAGGAAGCACGACAGGGCAACAATTTAACCGTGTGAAAAGTAGTTTTCCAATACGGATGCAATTTGCTGGATGGTATGTTTAGTGTTTATAATGATTCACCAGGTAAACAGACAAGGAATTCACGCCTCAGTTGCATGTTAGGATTTGGGAAACTGATCGTCCTTGAATCTCCTCTGTTTTTGCAAGGGAACATTGTGGACTAGACAACTTTCCACCAGTTTTACCTAGATTCGTTCAATCAGAAATCGTTAACCTATCCTGTGATTCTGTAACTCCGGCAATTACTGAGAGAAAAATAAATCTGCTTTGGTAATTCTCTCGCCGTTTTAATTACTATGCGACTGAATCATGAATCTATTTTCATAAAAATGAAAATCAGTTCAAGAAAAATATAAACAAACTGTTTGTTGTAGGTTATCTTGTGATATATTTTATTGAAGGCGGACATAAATTCTTTTTACGTTATTCCCTGTGCTCTTCTTGGATGACCATGTCTTGCACTCAAATTAGTTGACTTCCGTCCAAAAATATTGTCTGGATCTGTACCTTTAAGAGATCTGGGTAACAGCTGAGGGTCGCTCCGGCAGATGGTCTGTGAGCGGAGTGTCATTGTTTCTCACTAAATCTGTTTGCATACCAAGCGTCTCCCCCGCCCTTCCACCACCGCCCCCAACCCCCGCCAAACAGTCTCACGAACGTCTCCCGTTCCTTTTTCGAAAGCAAGCAAAAAAAGACAAAAGGCCAAACTAAAAAAAAGGCAAGGATAAAGTCACTTCCTAGTGCAACAGTTACATTCAAAATGTTAACGAACAGAGCCTTCAAATCGTGATGCAATAAATAAATAGATCAGATGGAAGCGAACGGGTCTTTCGGTTAAGTGATCCTATCTCCATTGTACAAACCACTGGTTCAAGTCTGTACTGATGCGTGGGAATCGTGACAAATGATTTTGCTGCTTCTTTCGCCAAGTAGCAAACTAACATCGATAACAGACACCAAGCCGATTGCTTGTCCGTGGCCTCTTTGGACCATGCACCGATTCAACATGGGAGCAAAGCTCTTTTGAAAAGCACTACATTTATCCTCGGGGTTTGCTCCAGTTAATGTGTTTTTCTGCCCAACGTGTAGAAAACAACACAAATCGTCGAATATCTGGAAAGTACTTTTTAGTGAAAAGTTGATTCGAATCAATACAGTGTGGAGCTGGAGGAACACAGCAGGTCAGGCAGCATTAGAGGAGCAGGAGAGTCGACGTTTCGGGTCGGCACCTTTCATCAGTCCTAAATAACTCTAACTCCAGTGTCCGCAGTTCTTGCTGTCTCCAAAAGTTGATTCGAGTTTATTACATTGACGAACTTCATTGTATGACAACTTTCCAAGAGGTGACAATAATTTATGTGTCAAAAATAAGGGAAATTAATATTTAAGAAAACCCCCAAAGAACTGTGGATGCTGGTAATCAGAAACAAAAACAGAAAACTGTTGGAAAAACACAGCAGGTCTGGCAGCATCCATGGAAAGAAAGCAGAGTTAACACTGACCCTTCAGAAATTAATATTCACACTACAATACTGAAGAACACAACTATGACATTCCTTTCCTGATATAAAATTACGATAAAGGATCAATAATCACTGAACCTAAATATATGACATTGAGAAATTGTATGTCATCATAAAGGATATATAATGTTTAATGATTATAACGTTCAACGAATATTAAAGAAAAATTAAAATGGATTGTTGTCGGCGGAAATGAATTTACAAAATACGTAGTCCCTCAAGAACTTAGTCCTGGTTCGGGAAGGGATTGTTTCAATCGGAAACTTCGGAAGTAATTCTTAGAATCGCTTTCCTTTTAGGTTGCATTTAATTTTGTGAAGACGTATATTGGCAGGTGAGGGGAAGTTAAGGGGGTGAGATGAAAGGAGTTTAATGTCAGGCTGAAATCGGCGTCAAACCATTTCACACAACTGAATCGGCGCCAGGTTTGTATTGGCTTCAACTAAATGATTTTCGCCATCAGTCGTGGAGTCAGAAGGGCATCGTGGTGAAACAGAGTGAATTACAAGACTAACAGCAACTAAACCCAAAGGAATAGTTACCCGAGAAGATATAGGAAGAAAAGACAGACAAGTATAAATCTGAATGCAATGTATCGCGTGACTGTCAGTGCATGAGATAAAAACAGAGTCAGAGACTGGGACAGAGACAAAACAAAACGACTGAGACAGAGGAAGTCACAAAAACAAAATGAGATACGATGGTGTTGACGGAGAAAAAGACTGATGGAGATAGAGATTTTTTAAAAAAGGAATAGTGACAGTTTAACAGTAACAGGTCCGGAGATAGAAAGAAGGAAAAATAAAGTGACACAGAGAAGGACAATGACACATCGTGACAGAGACAAGGAACGACAGTGATAAATAGTTACACAGAGAGTAACAGAGATGGAAAATCATACAGACGAACAGAGACACTGGTAGAAAACAATAGGGACAGTGACTTCAGAAAGAGAGAATAGCATATACGTACAGAGTGACAGGTTCAGAAGGAAATGACTAAAGAGACAGGCAAGGGAACAATGGCCGACACAGATAAAATAACAAGGTTAGAGAAATACGGTAACACTGGGAGAATGACAGAGCGACCTGGTGAGGGGAAATGCAGAAACAGAGAGGGGAGAGAGTTGTACAATTGAGTGACGCAAGAAATAGTAAAAGTGACAGAGCCAGAGATGGAGGCAGATAGAAAGTAACTCAAGAGTGAGAGAGACAAGAGCGAGAGTGACAGGATCTCAGAGGGAGACAGGAACACAGAATTGCGGATACAGTAATACAGTGAGAATGACAAGAACAAACACAGAAGCTGGGAGAGACAGTAGCAGGAACAGAGATGGACAAAAAAGGAACCGAGACAGAAAGACAACTAATGAACGAGAAAGAAAGAATTGAGAGTGCATGACCTCCCCATCCGACACGCGCGCACAATGGATTATAACACCCCGCAAACACTAGATCAATCAGCGTGAATATTTGGATTTAGACTGTTTTAACGGACTTTCTACATTCCATCCCTATATTATGGTAATAATATGCCTCCTATTGGTAACAGCTGGGAGAAAGGCGTGCATAAATAACCTACTTTATCCAATCTGAAAATCGCCAACACTGATCCAGAAAGCAAAACTGTAGTAGGGACTCCTTCTCCACGCCCCCGAGCTGTCAGTTACTGCTGCGGCCCTCCCGCAGAGGGAATCATTCATTAGAGTCAGGACTTTGCGGAATGGAGCTATAGATGTCAGAGCCGGTGAGCGACTCCGAGGCCCCTCACCTCTGCATCTCCATCGCCCTGGATTAAGGGCATTTTGTGTTTGTGCGTATGTTTGTGCGCGGATCAATATCTCCCCCGTCTTCTGCAGGCAGATGAAGCTTGTTAGCCCGTGACCGTTTCCTCGATGGTTTTCTGCTTGAAGGATGACAACACCCAGAGGAGGATAAATCTCCAAAAAAAACTTCACTGTTAACCGTCTCAGCGAAGCTTGTGGCATTGGAGATCTTTCTTAAAACAACTTTTAACCAAATCTGTGAAACTTAAATGGTGTGAGTGGGAAGCATAACGCTTTCTACTCTGGGATTTTTTTTCACTCAAGAAGGATTTGCAATTGTCCATTTTTAGCCCGATTTTTTTTAAAAAAGTGCTCATTCTGAACTATTACTTTAAATGTTTGGGATTCAGGACCATATACCGAGAGGGGCTGATATCAAGGACAAATCGACTGGGAGTGGAATGGACGCTGTTCGATCTTGGGTCCGGACCGTAGGGGTGGTGGCCGCCAATGTCGCGGCACAGAGGTACAGTAAACAACAAACTAAATTAAAACTACATGGCAGGTTGATTATGAATTCAAATAATCCTTGGTTTGGCTAACAACCGCACCACAATCCAACATCCTGCCTCCCTCCTACAACCTGCTTTCGCACTACTTAGAAACCCCTTAACTGTTCATGGGGAGCAAAATAAACGAAACGCAATTCCTTTCAGATTTCGACGTTTTAAATTCAGACTAAAAATTACTGAAGGGCCGATATTGCAATTTAGTTTATGGTTGTTGTGGGACTTGGAAGGAAGGGGAGGGGGTGTTGGTGATGGTGGTGGTCGGCGGGGGAGGGGTGCGGGAAGGGGGCTCAGACAATTAATTTTATGAAACAAGGAAGCGGACAATTCCGTTTGTCCCTGCGCTACAACCGTCATCTCCAGTGGTAGTGAGCGAGATATTTCATTAAACCATTGTACCGTATGTTCAATGATGGGTTAAAATGGGAGAGGCGATCGCGTGCTCTTTAATATTTACCGCACGGCTTTAAAATATTATAAGGGCAAAAGGCAAATTTGAAATTACTGGCTAGAATCTTTGGCCAAGGTTTGGTGACTATCCCTCCCAGGTGTGACAGGATCTAAGGACTTCAATGTGCGCTGACGATATTTTGAAAGAGTCACAACTTAACGGTCGGAATTGACAATCTCCAACACACTGTTTTATGCATGGAACAAATCATTGTGTCCACACTCAATCCAAAACAATCACCTGCACTTTGCAGCAACATTGCGTTGTCATTTTTTGTAACAAAAAATAAGCAAAAGTCTTAGTACCTTCAGTAATATTTTAAAAAGCAGATCAAATATGTTTTGTTTTAAATCTACTGGCTGAGTTTATAATTTGAAGAGGTTTGACACCAGAATCACAGTTTCTCCTTTTCTCGAACTGGTGCATTTGAAACGAAATTCACTTCTTGAAAAATCAAATACCTTTTCAATAAAACCCAACGAAAACATGAGATGGAGAATTTAGTCATCCGCGCCCGCCCGGTGTGCAGGATGGCACGGAATGATCTTCCCCACTCGGAAAACATTCTCTCAGCGACTCAATTCCCTTCACTCTAAGTTACCGTGCAAGAATCGCTGCCTGCTCCAAATTATGAGCAGAGGTTAAAAAAAAACTCTATCCATCTTCTTATGTTCACTGCGTTCAAATCGACTGTCAATCATGATCGAGGAGATTTTTCTGCCCTTAATATTTTAATATTTAATGATGTTGCCTCTATTGTTTTTTTGGTCAGAAACAATCAATGTTTCTGATTTCCTTTCACTTCCAGGGACACCTCTGTTGAATGCTAAAAACAATTCTTCATTGTATTTTTTTTGCCAGCTATGTAAATTGGTTGCGATGTACTTACTGTTTTCCGGCCTGTTAGTCATTTCACATGAAAAGACTGTAACTGTATGTGTGATAAACGTCAGTGCTGAATGACAGCGCGGATGTAAGTTTCTAAAGTACAGATACTTAAAGTGCCGGTGTGCGAAACACATTAAAATTTCAATTTTAATGCAATCAATTGGAGAAACAGATTCTGACAAAACACGTTTCTCTGTGCGTCTTTTTTTTTCCCTTTCATGTGAAGTTGCCAAATGAATAGGCGACAGACCTCCGAGTCCGCCGCGCATCTAGTTTACTTCCTTTGTATCCTTGTTACAGGGAACGGGGGTTTATCTTGTGTCATGAAGTTGGCAGCGGGACTGTACATGCGCACCTCAATAGATAAATGACCAATCGCAATATTGGCGCTCTGGGACCTGCCTGGCAAGTTTTTCTTACCCGCTTTCTTTCTCTCTCCCTCCTCAGCGGCGTGGCTCTGGCCAGAGCGCACTTCGAAAAACAGCCTCCGTCCAATTTACGGAAGTCCAATTTTTTCCACTTCGTTCTGGCACTTTATGACAGACAGGGCCAGCCAGTAGAGATTGAGCGAACCACTTTCACAGACTTCGTGGAGAAAGACTTGGTACGTAAAGAAAGCAGTTTCGCCCTCAACCCGAGGAACATAAATAAATCATTGACAATAACTGGTATTGGGCCCTCAAAGTGGTAGTGTGTGGAATTTATGTTTTCTCAATTTTTAAAGAGCGGGCTATTTCACCCGCTGTCTAAATATTTTCGTGTATGTCCCTTGTTAAACAAACCACCCGCACATTCCAGGTTTGCGCGCTCAACAACAAATTTCTTTAGCCCGAGTTAAATCAAAATACTTGCGTCCAATAAATGGCTTTTCCTAAGTGTTAAATTTTTGAGAACATAGCCTTGTTGCCTCAAATACCAACTGTGATCAAAAGAATGATGAAGCCGCTTGCCAAGGAGTGTTCAATGAAAGAACGGAATCGAAGTTTAAAACCAGGAATTCACTCAGAGTTTCTGACCGTGCTCCACAACTTTGCTTCACAGGCTGTATTTTACATGCTATCGATCGGTTGTCAGATCACAGAATCTGATCACACCGTGGAGCGAGAATGCTGGGGCTGGGAATATACCCGGTTCGGGGAGACTCGGCTCCTAGGCGTTTTACACCGCTCCAAATTGACTTTAATGTATTGGCCCACGGCGAGAACTGGCAGTGGACGTCCAGCTGGACATTTTTTTCATGCTAAAATCTTTCACCTGAAGGCGTCAACCGAAAAAAAGAGGCAAAGTGGGCTCTTCCTTCTTGAACATGTGAAAGAATTTGTCACTTGTCAGAGGACATGATCTGCTGAAATTGGGGCGGAAAAAGAAGTTTCAATTTTCAACCTTGGGCATTAGGTGTGGATATATTGGGTTAAATGGACCAAACTCTGTCCTGTGATTCACAATTGCAGAGTATTTTCACCAACTTTAGTGGATAACCGCCACTGCTCGTCCTGGTCAGTTTAGCGTCCGTTCAAAGCCCATTTAAAAGGATGACAATTTCCGATTAATACCGTCACTCACCAGCTTCGCCAGAATTTGAAATGCTTTATGCTGATTCTCAGGGTCCCGGCTTTTCCACGGAGGAGGTGGTGATGGTCATGTGTTGTTGCACTCAATGGTTCAGACTCAGTCGACTTTCGGTCTTTAATCTTGCAAGTGCTGCACATTGATTATCCTTGCAACTGCGACAACGGTTTCCGTTCAAAACATGACAGACCAAGGAAGGATGAATATCTAAATAACGTTAAATTTTTTTTTCAGGAACCGGGAAACGACAAAACTAACAACGGGACTCATTACAAGCTGCAGCTACTCTACAGCAATGGTAAGTCAGCCCCGAAAATCATGCGATCAGCCAGCGCAATCTGTCCCTTTAAGATCGCGACACGTTGTAAAATATCTGGGGTAACGGCCTGTATTTGCGCTGAATTCCTTCCAACGCAATTCTGAGCGCGACCGGTAAAGAGCGAACTGAAGAAAATGAAACAAACCAGTTTAGCGCGGGCTGCAACTCCCAGAAATTGCACAGCTTGTTGACATAAACTATTTCAAAACATACAACTCAAATTATTTCCAACTCTGTCCAATCATTCAGTTGAATGTACATTTAGTGTCACTGCAGCGATTGGCCGAGCGAAATTTAAATTCGTTCAAAACCTACCTACTCGCACAAAGTTAAAATCGGCTCTAATTTTGTGACTTTGTGTGGACAGGGAAGGTTTCGAAACGCTAACAACCACTAATAAAACTAACGGCGGGAGGTCCTCGTTTGCTTCACGTACACAGATTGAAAGAGATTATAATTTCCTTATAACACTGAGATCACCCGAGAAACGGACTGCAAAAAATCAGGGGCACTCGTCAATCTATCAGAATAACTCTTTCTAAGCACGGTATATTCAAAACTAAATGATAAATAATAACGCTTGTTTCAGCCGTCTTTTTTTTCCAACGAAGACTCTATCTCGTAAGTTAGACAAAGGACAGCCAGTGGACATGACCTACGTAGATTTCTAAAAGGACTTTCACAAGGCGCCACAAAGAAGGCTGTGAAATAAGACAAGAGCCCATGGTGCTCTTGGCAAGATACTGATATGGATGGAGGACTGACTGGCAGAAGGCAGACAGTTGGGATAAAGGGGTCTTTTTTCAGGATAGCAGCCGGTGACCAGTGGAATTCCTCAGGGGTCAGTGTTGGGATCACAATTTTCATATTAAAGATCTGGACGAAGGAACCGAGGGCATTGTTGCTAAACTTGCGGATAGGCGGAGGGATAGGGAGTATTGAGTGTGCGGGAGGATGTGGAAAGACTTAGGCTAGGAGAGTGAGTAAAATAGTGGGAGAGGGAATACATGTGGGAAAGTGTGAGGTCATGTCAGAAGAATAGAGGCAAAGACTATTTTCTAAATGGGAAAAGGTTTTGCAAATCTGAAGCACAAAGGGGCTTGGGAGTCCTCTTTCAGGATTGTCTGAAGGTTAACATGCAGGTTCAATTGGCAGTTAGAAGGCAAATGCAGTGTTGGCATTCATTTTGAGAGAGCCAGAATACAACGCCAGGGGTGTACTGCTGAAGCTGTATAAGGCTCAGATCAGACTGTATTTAGAACATTGAGAGCATTTTTGGGACCTGTCTCTAAGAAAGAATGTGCTGGCCCTGGAAGGAGCCCAGAGGAGGCTCACAAGAATGATCTCAAAAATGTAGAGGAGTTTGTTGTGTGAGGAATATTTGAGGACTAGTTCTGTACTTTATGAGTTTAGAAGGATGGTGGGGAGGGGGTGGATCTCATTGAAACTTACAGAATTCTGGAAGGCCTGGATAGAGTGCACATGGAGAAGATGTTGCCACTAATGGGAAAGACTGAGACCCGAGGCCACAGCCTCAGTGTGACAGGATGACCCTTTTGCACTGAGATGAGGAAGAATTTCTTCAGCCAGAAGGTGGCAAATTGTAGAATTAATTGCTGCAGTTGGCTGTGGGAGACAGATAGATAGGTTCTTGATTAATAAGGGAATCAAAGTGTACTAAGAGAAGGCAGAATGGGGTTGAGAAACCATGGTCGAAGGGTGAACAGACTTGATGGGCTGAATGGCCTGATTCTGCTCCAATATCTTATAGTCTTATGGTGTCATTTTAAATTAGTTCATCCTTTTGAGAAATCAGTTCTTTTTTCTCAATTATTAGCTCGAGGTCTTGTATTAGAAACTGCACGGCATAGGAAATGCACAGTCTGGTAATTTCGTCTCTCAGAGGGCAGTGTATCTGTGGAATTCTTTATTATTAGAGGGCTGCGGAGGCTGGATTATTAAGGACAGTGAAGACCAAATTTTAGACAAACTGAACCAGTCAGGGAATCAAGAGTAAAAAGGTGAAAATCAAGGCAGAAAAAGTAACAGTGGAGTTGAGGATTATCGGATCAACCGTAATCTCATTGACTCGATGGGGTGAATGGCCTACTTCTGCTCCTCCAGCCTATTGACTACAGGGGAGAGAATCATTGAACAAACGAATAACACAAGGAGCGGTGATTTTATGAAGCTCTGGCTCACACAAACATTGGTCATGGTCGTGGAAAAGAAAATGGCAGTTAAACTACTGGCGGGTACTCGAGATACGGTTGAACTCTCTGTGATTGTCCGCTACAATGAACATGTAGGAGCGATAACACTGCAACCTGTTTTCTGGCGAGTCAATTGCAAATGCATTAAGAAAAGCAGAAGGTTTCTTGTTGCTGACTTGTTGTTTTTGTGCAGGTATGCGGACGGAACAAGACCTGTACGTGCGACTCATCGATTCAGTGACCAAGCAGGTACAGAAATTGTTTGCCCTTTCCCCAATATCATCAATGACAAAGAGCATTGCAGAAAACCCGCCAAATTCTTCCGAGATCACTGTTCTGAAAGCAATTTGAATGAAAGTGACATGGAAGGTCAGCGGTGTAAGGCCGTGTCTAACCATTTGTCACGATTAAGGGAACGGTTATCACAGTATTATGCAGACAACAGATCTCATGGATCACACGTGTGCAGCAGAAGTTCTTACCCATTGAGTGTTGTCATGGAAAGCCAGTGATCCTGATATTCTGGCAGGATGGGATCTAAGCAGCACCCATTATAGACGCCTGGCATGCGATCGTGTAACCTGGGAGTAAATAAATGTTTCAGGATAAATTATTATTTATAAGCCGAAAACATGCCACTGTTGTGCCTTCTCGTGACAAATTTGCTAGAGAGCATCAAGCTTAGCTGTGTACTCGAATAAAGGCAAAATACGGCGGACACTGGAAATCTGAGACAAACAGAGAACGCTGGAGAAACTCGGCAGGTCTGGCAGCATCAGCGAAAGGAGCAACAGAGTTCACGCTTCCAGCTCAGAAGGACTCTCAAGTAGAAGTGCCAGACTCATCCGGTGTGAGGGATAAATTCTGGAGAAGAAAATGCTGGACTCGAAACGTTAATTCCGTTTCTCTCTCCACAGATGCTGCCATACCCGCTGAGTTTCTCCAGCATTCTCTGTTTGTTTCAACTCAAAACATCCCATTGACAGTCTAGCTTTCTATTAAATCAACATTTCACTTTCTTCCATAATGAATCCATTTCCCAACAACAATGGGGTTCTGGAATGACTAGTCCCGTGATATTTCCACTACAGTACTGCCTCCGCACTCAATTGACAGTCTAGGCTTACGCTCAGCAGGTACAGAACTGCACAACAATTGCAGATCCCATTTGGAAAAGATAGAATAAATCTCGGGGAGAGGATATTGTCCATTGTAACATCCAAGCAGCATCAAGGATTAGTCATGCTAAGTAAGTGTTTTGACCTGGCAAATATGCTTTGGTGAACTGGAAATTACCAATATCCTAACAAAAGCAAAAATATGTGGATGGAGGAAATCTGAAATAAAAACTAAAAACTGGAAATTCTCAGCAGGTCAGGAGAGAAAAATAAAGACAATATTTGAGAGTGATGACCTTTCACCAGAAACACAAATACATATTCCATTTATGAAGTATATTGCACTGATAGTTGCTCAGCATCAATTTCATGGTAATTTGTGTGAAGTAATATAAAAGTGATCCAAATATAGTAAATCTTAACTTGTTCATTTATTTGGTGAGTTTTTGGGCTGAAGGAATGGAAAGCATGTCCATTTTCACCCATGTCAGGGTAAATGTCAATTAATCAAATACAGAAAGCTTTACCACAGAGATTCCCTCTCCTCTGCGCCAACAATGCCAAATTCGCTGAGCACAAATCCTCCCCATGACACCAGTGTGAATTTCTTTCAATTTCTATGCCAGATGTGCCTGGAGCCACTCTGAGTCAGTTCACACTTTATGATGTTGGCTCACATTCATGAGGAACTGGGTTGCTACTCCCCCAAAATGTGTTACACTGGAGAGCCTAACAGCCAACAACAGAAGAAATCTTATTTCACTTGAGGATGATCATAGCTGACAGCAAAAGGAAATTTTCATCCCATCAGTCTGGGCCAAATTGAAACCCAGGTCTCAGAGGTGAAAGGATAGGGTCTAACTCACTGCACCAGCTAGTTCCTTAAGTGTTTAATACATTTAACAGCTGTGCACATTATTTCCTGACATCAACCAAGAAAAAGTTCTGTCAGGCTGTTCAAGAGAACTACGTCAAGTGTAAACTATTCATCCATATGCTTACTCAAATTCGAATCAGTATCTAATTTTCACTTTATTAAGAGCACATATCTAAGTGGTTGCATTGTTACTTTATAAGCGTTACAGAGGGGTGGTTGACACCTCTCTGATAATTAAAATCAAAACACCCAGAGAAGCTTGCTTCGCCTTGTAATCTGCGAAAGGAAGTGTGAAAAATAGTATAACCTGCCTCTCACCCCCAATCTGTTATAAAGGAGTGGTTAAATGAAAGAAATCCCTGATACTCACTTTATAAACAACAAGTAACAATTTATTTATCTAACCCTAACAGTGAACAAATGAACAGAACTACTAACAAACTGAACAATCCCCCCCTTAACTGCTAACTATTCCCGAATAAAACAAAATTCTAATGGTATGCTGCTCCAACAAACACAAGTCCCACTGACATAAACCAAAGTAATAAGAAAAAATAAATTGAAATTTAGTCTCTCAAAATTACAGCCAGGAAGTGTCTTCTCGAATGTTCTTTGCCTTCTTGCTGTTTTCAATTCAGGAATGGCTTTTTCCATTGAATTCTTGTATCAGGAATATTAGCAAAGAGTGCCTTAGTACTATTATTTAGATGAGAGCTGAGACATTTCTGTGAAAGCCAATGATTTCTCTTCAGATGGCAGTTCGCTCTCACACCAACCTTCAAGTGCCCTCTTCTTTTATACTCTTGATGACCTGTTAATTTCTTACAATAGGATTGGTTCTAGGTTGTCAAAAGCATCAGATTTAAATTTGATTGGGTTTTGGTATCTAGGGCCTGGTTTAAATTAATTGGCTAAATTCAAAAATCTGCTGTCATGGTAAAAATGCTGCTTTGCCTGCTAACAGTATAGCTGTTTTGATATAACATTTCAATTTCAAGAACTCTTTGTGCATCCGCCACTGCCTGCAGACATTTTTTAAAATCTCCAAGCCTAAAACACATCATCTTTTAAAGGAACCATGCACTCTTTCCCCCATATCATTTTACCAACATCAAATACTCTACCTAACTTCGCAACATAAGCCATGGGTCAGACAAAGTTTGGTCCCAAACTAGTTGGAAAGACACCATTGGCAGCAAGAGTACACAAAGGTAGACAATCATGATTTGGCCAGCTATCAGGATACTTAACTTCAAAGGATGCTCAGAAAGTTGAACTACTTCTTTGGAAAAGTGAATTTAAATCTCAAAGAAGAAAAGGGAATTGCCAAATCTTTTAACTGCTGTGAAAACTCAAATATCAGGGCCAGGTTTTGTGGAATAATACCAAAGGATACTTGTAAGTGTGAAAAAAATTATTAGGAAGACCCTGACTAACAGACATGATGAGACATTTGTCTGGAGAGAGAAAGACTTGAAGTATCTGTTGAGATGATGGTTTGATGGGCATGCTGGTTTCATGATATTAAGCCCAAACAATTTTTCTTCTTCCAAATTTTCTTCACATTCCAAATGTTTTAGAGGTTATCAACCATATTCTAACTTCCATTACAGCCAATTGTCTACGAGGGTCAAAACAAAAACCCAGAAATGTGCCGGGTACTTCTCACACATGAAGTAATGTGCAGGTAAGGAAAAGTCATTGGCAAACCAGCCATGCTGGTCTTGTACTTCAGTTGAAGCATGGTTATAAACTTACCCCTGTAATGTGGAATGAATCTGGATCTATTCTAGAGACACAAACATCACAATGAATGTTGGCATCCAGCTGTTTCATTGCATTGAATCTGCCTTGTGAACGGTTCAACATTGTGGACCAATTACAATGCTGTTAAATTGAAAGCCTGATTGAAAGACAAAAACCCTTTAAAACAATCTGAGCTTGTTGTTTCTGCTATATGTGTTTTAGGGTTGATTTATTAAAGTGAGGGAAAGTCATTCATAGAATCCCCACAGTGTGGAAACAGGCCCTTCGGCCTAACAAGTCCACATCAACCCTCGGAGCATCCCACCCAGACCCATCCCCCTATAACCCACCTAAGCTACACATCCCTGAACACTATGGGCAATTTAGCATGGCCAATCCACCTAGCCTGCACATCTTTGGACTGTGGGACGAAACTGGAACACCTGGAGGAAACCCATGCAGACACGGGAGAATGTGCAAACTCCACACAGACAATCACTCAAGGGTGGAATTGAACCCGGGTCCCTAGTGCTGTGAGGCAGCAGTGCTAACCACTGAGCCACCGTGCCACCATCTCAGAACTCAAAGGAGAATATGACAATATTCTACAACGGACTTTGCAATTCATGATCCTATAGTCCAACTGGATTACTGCTAACCCATCAGCAAAGTAAAAGCTGGAGCAGAATGACATTGATGTATTTGATTGTTTCCCTGGAGTTATTTTAACCATTGTTTCAGTATTGAACTATAATGTGAAGCTGACACCCAATCTGATCCTGCCAGTTCCTGCTAAGAGGGCTACATCAAAATGATGTCACAATTCTATCTTCGCTAATCTAGAAAGAAAGATTGTTGTAGTGCACCATTTCAACAACATCTTGAAGTGATTTCAGAACTAACTTCCAATTCTGTAGAGCATCACCACAATAATTAATCAGCCCTGTCTTACAGATAGCATCATCATCTATTGTTCGAGTACCCTGCATGCAGGGACAGTGTAAACATGTAAAGCTTTTAAACTTCCCTTTGTCATTCTACTAATTTTCAAAGCTAAAGCTTTGGTGCATCAATGTGGGCACTATCACACTGGTATCAGTCCTCTAATCTACTGAGAAAGCAAACTACCTCAGGTTCCTGCTCCCAATCACTTTCTATTAAAATCTGCTGAATGTGCACGTGTACATGTGTTCTAGGGTTGTTCAGTGGAGAATCAGGGTTGGTTATAATGGGTGCTGTAAGTAGATCTGTTAATGAAGATAGTTTAGTTTCGCATTAGAAGAGCAAACATTTGGGTGAGACATCACAGGTATGGAAAGTACACCTCTTCTCAGTAGCAACACTGGGAGAAATCTTCAGAAAAGCAAATACAAAGATCGAAGCATACTCTTGCAATGAAGAAAACACAAGTGAATACATCTCCACCTTAATCCGCACTCACACACCATGTCACATTGTGAAAATCAAAAATTATAATTCACAGGTGCAAAACAGCACATAATGATGGGAGGCTGTGTTACAGAACTCATCCATGGCATATCATTGGCAGTCAGGTGTTACACACCAAAAGAACAAACAGAGCAATATCTATTCTCCAGGGATGGACCTGTTTCAGGTGCCGTGAGACAGACTGGTGTCTAAAATTCACATACAGTTTGGATCCGAGATGATCTTTCACAGAGCTTTCACTTCCCCATATGTCAGAAGGGTCAGTTTCAGTTTTACTATACAATGTGCAACACATTTCTCAGGAGTGTCCCCAACACACTGGTCACTTTTTTGTATTCATTCATGGGATGTGAGTGTCACTGACTAGCTATCATTTATTGCCCATCTCTAATAGCCCAGAGGGCAGTTAACAGTCAGCCACATTGCTGTGAATATGGAGCCACATGTCGGCCAGACCAGGGTAGGATGGTAGATTTCCAACCATGGAGGACAATAATGAACCAGTGTTGCAGACAGGGCTTATATGGTTACCATGAGACTAGCTTCTTTATTTGAGATTTTTATTCAATTCACGCTTCACCATCTGCCACAATGGTTTTTGAACCCATTGCATTAGCCTGAGGTCTGGTTTGCTTGCCCCTGACATTAACATGGTGCCACCTCTTCCACCTTTCGTCATCTAAAAGTTCTGTGGACTCCTTCTGGCAAATCTTCACTGCAAAGTACTTTATTGCTGCCCAGGGTGCTGTGCTCGGTGTATTGTATTTTGAGTTACGAATTTTGGGTGTAAGTATTTTTCCATGGTTCCGGGCAGTGTCTGGCTGGCACTCCTGTACTGAAGTAGTGCTGCGTTGTTAGTGTTGTCATCCCTCAGATGAAATGTTGACACAAAGCCCTGTCTGCTTGGTGCAATTGTTCAGATGAAATGATGAATCTCCCACAACATGATTTAAAGAGCAGCGATGTATTCTCTTGGTCCCGTGGCCAATATTCTTCTCTGAACTGGCATCATCAAAGCTTAATGTGGAGTCTTGCTGTTTGCAGTGTGAGAATCATTGAGGTCTACAGCATAGAAAAAAGGCTCTTCGGCCCAAGGAGTCCGTACCAGGCAAAAACAACCACTTAATTATTCTAATCCCATTTGCAAATTGGCAATTGCATTTCCAAGCATCACAACATCTGTTGTGTTTAAAGATGAAGCACTGTCAGAAGCATGTTAAGATGGTTCTGAGGGATATGATAAGGAGGTACAGAAGTTCCTCTGATTTTGTTTTTTTAAACAAGCAATTGTAGGAACTATTTGATTTGCACTGAAAATGAAGTGGTAGGGGTTAAGAAATGGCATGAGCTTGAGTCTCTGGCCATTGCATACTGGTTTTGGCAGCTGAACCTTCAAAAAGGGGCCGACTTGGGACAAAATTTCCACCCTAAACAGGCGAGAGCTTCCTTCACATATTTAAAGCAGGAAAGAAGGTTGTACCACTTTCAGGCCTGCTGTCTGTTTGGTGCCTGAATCTGCAGCAAACCCATGGGAATCTGGTGGGAAGGGAGGCTTTGGGTGCACTGCAGGTAGAGGGGCCTTTAAGGGGTTCTCAGAACCCTCACTTAAGTATTTCGGCCCACTCACTGAACTTCTTTGTTTTTTATTCAGGGTTGAATTATAGCGTTTATGTAAATTTATCTCCATTGTACCCAAGTTCTGTTTATTGACATTAGAGAATTGGCTATCAGTGACATTCCAATTTTATGTGCTGAAATGGAAGACGAAGAGTGGCATCAGGTTGTGCAGGCTGTTTGAGAGACATGCTGAGGTGTCTTGTGAGCACTCCTCCTGAACTTGGCAGATAGGTTCAAAGGGCTTTAGGAGCAGATGCCTAATGCTAACACAATAAATTGTGTATGTGTCTGGCCTACCATTTTGTTGGAAGATTCTTCAGCAGCATCCCCCTTCGAACCATTTCTTACTTGGCACTGCAAGATGCAAGGCACTTAGATGTTGATGGAGCACTTGCATTAGTTGTGTGACCACAAATATCAAGATGCTGCCTGCGATTTCTGCAGACTTGTGCGGAAAAGTTCATGGTATTTCTACGTTCAGGATTGTAGGTTAACAAAGAGTTAGCTGCTAATCTGTGCCATCTGCTGTAGGAGGATGTGGAACACAACTTGAATATACCTTGCCCCGAGCAGAAAAAGTCTGCTGGGATCTGAAACCTGGTTGCACCTTCTTCTGGACAAGGCTGTCTTGTGAATAGTATTGGGTAACAGCAGAGAGGACAATCCTCCTTAGATTAAAAGATGATTTCATGCAATGCATTTGGATCTGAAAATGCCAATGTATCAGAGTCAAACAAAATGGAGGTACAAAGCATCATATACAGCACTGTCTCATACTAGATACCATAAAAACGATCAGAACAACTGCTGACAAGTGTTTTGGTCCCAAATCCAAGGATGTTTGGTTCACACTGAGAGTCTGGTGGAAAGGTGGAAAGAGGTGCTTTAATTAAGGTTCACTCCAAGAAGTCAAGGCTTCAGAACAAGACATGAATGGGGAAAGACAAAAGATGTGGATCAAGATATCTTCCTGCAGTGAGACCAGTGATGGAGTGACTTCACAAGCCACAATGTGAAGCAAGTGCAGCGAAAGCAGCTGAGTGGTGAGCTGAATTCATGAAAATTTCCAGTCTTTCCAGTAAAATTAAGGTTTTCTGTCCATGTTTAGGTCTTTAGGCTTTTTCTTTGTTTTTTCCCTTAAAAGATAGCTTGTTAATACAGATAATTGTTGAAAAAAGTAACATAATGAAGTGTAAAGAGCATGAATTCTAGATTAATTAATGATTAAATTCAACAAAATACAACAGTGATGGTGTTTACTGCTGCCCCTTTGGAAGCTGTTGAATGCCAAGGTGACCTAAGGTGAACACATTTGACTTTTTGTGACTCAAGAAACTTCAGAAATGAGTTGAGGAGCTGCAAGCATTGCTCACATCAGGGAGGGGGTAAGTTACACGGACATTTGGCTGCAGGCAGCAGTCACACCCCTCAAACTAAACTCAAATATTTCTTCCACGCTCGGCGTGAAAAGATTTTCTTTCCTCAGAACTCGTCTAAACCACTTGATCTTCAACTTAAACTTATTCTCTCTGGTCTTAGACATGTCTACCACGGGGAAAAAGTTTTTTGCCTTGTTCACAATTCAAAAGAGGCCAGCATATAAGTTCAGCAGATAATACAGAAGGCAGATGTGATGTTGGCTTTTATTCCCAAAGAATTGGCGTATAAAATTAGGAAAATCTTGTTAAAACTATGCAGGACACTTGTTAGACAGCACAGAGAATAATGTGAGCAGTTCTGGACCCCTTATCTAAGGAAAGATGTACTGCCATTGGAGACCGTCCAAAAAAGCTTCACTCAGTTGATAGGAGCAAATTACTGCAGGTGCTGCAATCTGTACTGCAAACAAAAAAAAGTGCTAGAAATCATAGCGGG